GATCGTAAATCAATTGAGAATGCACATTGTTTAGATGTCAAAAAAGAATTTTGAAATTACTCTCATTTTAAAGAAATCAAAATTGAAATTGGATAATTATGAATGAAAAATATTAGAAGAGGTTAACTGTGAAATGGAATAGTAAGTCTTCATTTTCGAATATGGTTACTTTTTATGGATAAATAATAATCTAATAAATGGTTATAAAACTTATAGATTTTTGTCCTCTTTCAATAGTAAAGATGAATATCCTTCAAAAAGAGTGATTAGTAGAGGCAAAATATCAAACTAAAGTAATAAAATATGCTCATCCCACTTGCCCCCTCAGGTCCCATCCCGACCCCGCATATTATGTTTTTATTATCAAGTGTCAATCAATAAAAAGTATTCTGAACACTTTTAAAATTTCAAACTTTGCTGCAAATTATCCTAATTACAATAAGTAAATTCATATAATTTTGAATGCAAGAAAATAATAGATTCAAACAATAGAGGTAATAATACAATTTCATTGTAGGTAATTTGACTCCCGTAAAATTTAAGAATATTCACACGATTAATCCCTATTCAAACTATTCAAATCCCCAATATTTTGTCAACTACATAATTAAATAATTTAGTTCTCTTAAATTGATTGACAGTCATGGTAATCAAATTAGCATCACTTCATAGATTCACTAAATAAATGGTCACTAAATATAAGGAGAATGTAGATTATCATTGACATTGTAACTTTATGTGATTCTATTAAAATAAAATACAGGCTGATTATTTAAATGAAATTATCGAAATAATATTATTGGTGATTACCTATAATACTCTTTATCAACGTCAATATCGTTGGTAATGTCATCCAAAATTATTAATGGTAAAAGTTTTCGATGCCATTCAATAAATTTTAATCTTTTTAATTTTTTTTCATTTTACCCTATGACATAGTATTTTTTTTAATCTTTCCTTACAATAGTATCAATTTTTAAGTCATTCTTTAAACTTTTGTTTGTTCCTGACAAAATTTTCAAGTAGTCTTTATCTTAATTTAGAAATTTATCTATTGAAGATTTATTTATTTTTTTTTTATTTTTTTGACAAATTAAATCTGTAAAACTATCTATGTTTTTAATATTATTAAATAAAAAATAATTCGATTTCAATGTTTGACTCAAGAATGGTTTAAATAAAATAATGATTATCTTATTCCATTATTTTTAATGGTTATCTTAATTTATTACTTTTTAACAACTCATAACGTATTTAGCCCATGTTTGTCTATCATTAGAGTAGAAAATAAATTTTGGAGTAGTGAATTTTGAAGAATCTGTGGTAAAAGTAAGAAAAAATTTTAGGTTTTTGTGCAAAAATATTTTATTACAAAAATGTGTCGTTGAAAATAAATTTGAGAAAATATTGGGTTAATGACATAGGGCTTAATGATAAGCAATTTAGGGCTTGTTTTACCTTTTTTTTTTTTTAAATGTATTTTGTAATAATATTATGATGAATAATGCGTGATTTAAAAATAAGAAAAAATTTTAAATTTGTGTGTAATATTATTTTAGGGTAATTAGCACAAAATGTCTCTACCTTTAAGGTTTTTGTCGACAACGTCCTTACATTTCGTTTTTTTTGTAATTTTCACCCTCACTTTTACCTTTTATTGTGAAAAACATATTTCCGTCCACTCACTGTTAAAATGCTATGTTAAAACAAATAAAATAAGATTTTTCTTTTCAAAAAGTAAGGATAACATTGTAATAAATTATCTATACATGAGCAGTAGCAACCCAGGTAGGATCTGTGCCTTTTGCCTCCAAGAAAAGCTTGGAAATTTATTCTCTTCATTTTCTGTATCCATTTTCCCTTCTTCTCCCTCATTCAGATCTGAACAAGGAGGTGGCACCACCGCCACCGCCCTTCAAGCCCACAATCATGGATTTTCAAGATTGCCTTCTGTTTTTAAGAGAAGTAAATCTACTACTAATAATACAAGAGGGGGTATGCATTTCTTGAATAATTTAGAAGATTATAATTCAAATAAAAAGATGGTTCTAGTCATTTCTTTACTTAATAGAGCTTAAGAAAATTGTAAAGAACTCTAAAGATTCAGACTTTACATCAGGTGAAAAGAAGAAGAAAATGTCAATTTGTGGCCATTAGTGAGAATGATCAGATCTGTAAATGGATTTGTGGCCATTAATGAGAATGATTAGATCTGTGAGTGGACAAGAAGAAAAAAAGATCAATTTGGCTCAAAATACGTAGGGACTGTTTTCACAATTTTTAACAAAAGTAGTGATTTTTACACAACTCCAATTTAAAGGTAGGGATGTTTTTTCGCAAAGACAATGTAAAGGTAAGAATGATTTGCGCAAAGACAATTTAAAGGTAATGATTATTACCACAAGTTCAATTTCGAGCTAAAATGGAAAAAAAGACCGATTCATCTTCATCATCTTCTCCATTCATATTTATTGTCCATTCACTTAATCATCTTTTAATTGGTATTCTCACTTTATCCCTTATTTACACCCTTTGTAAGCACAAAATGGGGATGAACATCTCAAGTTTATCAACCACATATTCCTTTTCTTCATATACCATTCAAAAATTTTATGACTAATCAAGTATTACAACAGCAATAATTCTTTTCAACCAGAATACCTATCTTTTACGTCATTTTTTCTTATTTATTGAATGAAATAATTTTTTATAAATTATTTTATTTTCATATTACTTTTAGTTTTTAACATTTGAAGAAGAAGGCCACAATGAAGAACTTAGTTTGGACAATTTTACCCTTGCTTTTTGAAAAAAAAATCTTATTTTATTTATCTTAACGGAGTATTTTAACAGTGAATGGACAGAAGAACGTTTTCCACAATAAAAGATGAAGTTGGGGGTGAAAATTGCCAAATAACGAAAGGTTGGGATGTCTTTCACAAAAACCTTGAAAGATAAAGACATTTTGTGCTAATTATCCATTATTTTATTAAAAATGTTTTATTAAAATGAGATGCGAGGTGAAGATGTCAAACAATAGCATATTAAAAATGCACAATTCACACATATATATTTTTTTTAATGACGGGAGAACCTCCAGTCGCTACCCTTTGGGTGCGCAATGGGTAAACCCGCAGAATGACGTAATAGCGTGCAAATCATGTCAAGTAAACCGTACTAAGCAAGTCCTATGTGACAGGTTCGATCAAGAAAGACGTGTTACATCTTTAATTGAGCATGAAGTAATTATAGATTGCTAAGTGGTCAAAGAAGGCGACGTGGCAGTCATTCACGTGATGTGCACAGAATATTATATATGCTTTAAAATTCTATATGGCCCACCCCCATGTTACAATGTTTTTCTTTATTTTCATCATGTGTAATGCTATTTATTTACCGTGATGATAAATAAAAGTGCTGAAAAAGCAAATTATCCTAACTATAAAATCCCTACCAAGGGATTCAAATTTAGTGCACGTTCGGTAATGTTTAGAGAAAAAAGTGAATCCTTATTTGTGAGTAAAGAAGTAAAAAATAACGATTGAAATAATAAAATAATTATCAAAAAATTGATTTTTTGAGTGAAAAATTGCTATAAAATGGGGACTTAAATTTTTGTCGAAATCATAGTCAACAATTAATTATAATAACATCTTTTAAGGAATCAACAACTTTTCAACTATCAATTTTATCAATTTTTATCAAAATTTAACGAAAATTTGATTTTTAATCTCCACTAAATAGAAGCAAAGTATCATATTTCACAGTATGCACCTATTATGTAATCGTATATGCCACGTTCGATGGACATTACAAAGATTTAACTCCCACATTTGCTCGTCCTGACATGAGCACACGAAGGCACCGATATCGACACGCCACAAATGGATATCTGAGCATTATTTCAAGGGCCGTTAAAAATGACAATTGTTTGAACCGTTCCTTACAGGTGCAAAGATTTTGTTAAGGGAATATAATCCCACATCGGTAAAATACCGAAACAATGACCAATATATAAAGGATTGGGACACTCCTCTTAACAAGGTTGACCTTATTAAGATGGACCCCAAGTCTTAACATGGTATCAGAGCCCAGTAAGCTCCAACGAGCTATTCGATCCGATTAAGTCTCAAAAATGAGCGCACGAATTTCAAGATTGGTTTGCTCAAACGAGCCACCATCTTGCGGGGGCATGTTAAGGGAATATAATCCCACATCGGTAAAATACCGAAATAATGACCAATATATAAAGGATTGGGACACTCCTCTTAACAAGGTTGACCTTATTAAGACGGACCCCAAGTCTTAAAATGGTATCAGAGCCCATTAAGCTCCAACGAGCGATTCGATCCGATTAAGTCTCTAAAATGAGCACACGGATTTCAAGATTGGTCTGCTCAAACGAGCCACCATCTTGCGGGGGCATGTTAAGGGAATATAATCCCACATCAATAAAAATACCGAAACAATGACCAATATATAAAGGATTGGGACACTCCTCTTAACAAGGTTGACCTTATTAAGATGGACCTCAAGTCTTAACAGATTTTACATCGTAAATTATAGAAACCCGCTAATGATTTTTCGTTTCATTCTAAATAGTTTAAATTTCAATCAATTTCTCAGAATTATTCTTCATTAAACATTATGCTGACTATTAACTAAGATTACCCTATTTCATTAGCATCAGCTTAACTGATTCACTATATAAAAAGGCACAAAACAAAATTTTTACTACAAAAATGGAGAATCTGTACACGTTTCACCTCATTCACCGACTTATTCAAAATCTTTTCAGAGAGAGTCGGATTATTTATATCTGTCATAAAATGTCAATTTCATTAAAAGAAATAGTCGAAATTCTTATAAGTTGATGTATGTTTTCACCTTTATTCATCGTGAGATTTTATCTCTTAACACAAATTGCGATATTTGTTCAAGATTTTCTGTAATCTGTCTTCTTTTGAATGTGAACTGTATATAGAAAATTATAAATGCAGTGTTGAGTACACAAACTTCACTTTTTTGCGACATTCTGTTCAAGATTTTCTGTAATCTGTCTTCTTTTGAATGTGAACAGTATATAGAAAATTATAAATGCAGTGTTGAGTACACAAACTTCACTTTTTTTTCAGCGGCAAAAAAGTGATTATTCTTATTTTAATTGGCTCCTTTAGCCATATTTTTTTTCACCACTCACTCATTGCCTCCACAAACCCACAAAGCTTCATTCAGCACAGAAGGTCCTTCTCTTCGGAATCAAGAAATGAAGCCTATTTTCTTGATTTTTTTTATACTTTCAAGAATTTTTGTCGAAACTTACCAGCGGCAGCAACCCATCAAAACAGTTGTGGTTTTGGTGTTGGAAAATCGATCTTTCGATCATATGCTTGGGTGGATGAAGAAATCTGTAAATCCCGCAATCAATGGAGTCACAGGGAAAGAATGCAATCGAGTTTCGACCAAAGCAGAGGATACAGAAACAATTTGCTTCTCTGATGATGCTGAATATGTGGATCCAGATCCCGGCCATTCTTTTGAGGCTGTGGAGCAACAGGTACGGACAAAAATCATCTCGTCTAAGAGCTTAAACGTGTACAATTTTTATTAACAGTCGATCCCAAGATATAACATGTATGGTCATAGAAGTTTGTGTTAGATATGCGGGTGGATTTTTTTGTTTACTTAAATCTATCTTGAACAGGTGTTTGGCTCTGGTTTAGTTCCTACAATGTCTGGTTTTGTAGAACAAGCATTAACAATGTCACAGAATTTATCAGAAACGGTGATGAAAGGATTTAGGCCTGAAAATGTGCCAATTTATGCAACCTTAATTCGTGAATTTGCAGTGTTCGATAGATGGTTTTCATCGATTCCTGGTCCAACACAACCCAATAGACTATTTGTATACTCTGCAACTTCTCATGGATCCACAAGCCATGTTAAGAAGCAGTTGGCCAAAGGGTACCCGCAGCGGACGATATTCGACTCAGTTCATGATAGCGGTTTAGATTTCGGGATTTATTTTCAAAACATTCCGACAACGTTGTTTTATAGAAATTTGAGGAAGTTGAAGTATATATTTAAGTTTCATCAGTATGATTTGAAGTTCAAGAGTGATGCTAAGAAGGGAAAGTTGCCTAGTTTGACTGTGATTGAGCCTAGATACTTCGATTTAAAAGGATTACCTGCAAATGATGATCATCCATCTCACGATGTTGCGAATGGACAGAAGTTAGTGAAGGAGGTTTACGAGACATTGAGAGCAAGTCCTCAATGGAACCAGACGCTTTTGGTCATTACTTATGATGAACATGGTGGTTTCTATGATCATGTGCAGACACCGTTCGTTAATGTCCCCAATCCCGACGGAAATACAGGCCCGGCACCTTATTTCTTTAAGTTTGACAGGCTTGGTGTTCGAGTACCCACTATCATGGTTTCTCCTTGGATCAAGAAAGGAACCGGTATGCTCCACTTGTTTCCTTTGAATGATAATGGTCTTTTTTCCTCTGATGTTCAAAATAAGTCACTTGATTCTGATTAGATACGGTTTTGTTTGTTTGGTATGTAGTAATAAGCAGACCAAAAGGTCCGGCTCCAAATTCGGAGTTTGAGCACTCGTCAATCCCGGCCACCATAAAGAAGATGTTCAACCTCTCATCAAACTTCTTGACTCATAGAGATGCTTGGGCTGGTACATTTGAGCAAGTAGTCAGGGATTTAACCTCTCCGAGAACTGATTGCCCCAGTAACCATCTTCTCGACTTGGCCTTGTATCACTTCTTACATGTTTTTGGTTTCATTTTGCTTACTATTGATCATTTTTTATGTTATGGCTTAATCCTAATCCTAATGCACTCGATTTCTATGTTTCCAACACTCCTTTTTTTTTTCTTTTTCTTTTTCGAGTATTGAACTTTAAATTGGTAAACATTAATAAGGAACCATGTTAATTGTTTGTAGAGGTCCTGCCTGATGTAACTCCTTTAAGAAGCTCCAAAGCGGACGAAAACCGTGGGTTGTCCAAGTTCCAAGGTGAGGTGGTGCAATTGGGTGCTGTTCTCAACGGTGATCATTTCTTGAGTAGCTTCCGGGACGAGATGCGAACTAAGATGAACGTGAAGGAAGCTCATGAATATGTAAGGGGTGCCGTATCGAGGTTTATAAGAGCGAGCAAGGAAGCTATTAAGTTGGGTGCAGACGAGTCTGCCATAGTCAACATGAGGTCTTCCTTAACTACGAGATCATCGATTCATAATTAAATTCTCTATCAAGGATGTCTTGTCCTTCAAGTCATTTTGTTGTGTCCATATCGAAAGTTGTTTGTTAGTTTTTTTAGTTATTGTTGGATTCATAGAGCATATTGAAGTGTTTAGCTCTGTCCATAGTCTTGTGTGAAATCTAATGAAGAACTCCAAGAAATAATAGGACTGAGGGCCATTTTCTTTGTCAGAGGTTTGTTCGTTAGTATTTAGTAATAGTGATCCGAACTTACTACGATAAATAATAAGTTGTCTCCTATGACATGTCACATGACTAGAAAAAATAAAAAAAAAAATAAACGGCGAAGTCCATTTAAAATGGCAAAAGTGAAATAACGCTGATAAAGTAGTGGGATGTCCGTCCATTGGGTTATGCATACTAATTGAATTATTAATCTCACAAATGATCACTAAAAGTTCGTGTAAAATTTTAAATTGAGAAAATTACCTAGAAACCTAGGTTTAAAAACTAGTTTTCATAAATAAAGGAGGTTAAGTTTAATTTCATAATTCAGGTGGTAATAAAAAATTATTAAACAAATATTATTGAATTCATAACTACCACACACCACACCCAATCTGCTGTCTCTCGCCCCCTTCTCTCTCCATGTTTTCTAATTCCCTGACTCCGGCGAATACATCCACCACAATGGCGCCGTGAAAGCAACTGACGACTACTCCGCCTGAAGACATATCAATGCTGACTGTCGCCTCACAGTTATGGTTTGGATCTCCAATCACGGTTGGGGCTGTTAAAGGGCTCGAAAAATTTGGGGAGGTGATGAAGCCCTAATCATCCTCTCTCTCTAAATTCTCTCTCCCTTCTCTCTATCACAAACCACCTTCGGTGACACTCACGATGTCGCCACCATCAACGACGCTCACTGTGTCACCACCGTCGGCGACGCTCAGGGTGTCTCCACCATCGACGACGCTCACGGTGTGTAGATCTGCGCGGCGTAGAGCACTATTGTGGGGTGTCTTCGTCATCGGTATGTGATCTCCGGTGGTTGTGGTGTCTTCGTCGCTGGTATGTAGAGCGTTTATGCGGTGGTGTAGACTGAGATTTGTAGTCTTCTGTAGTTAACTC